ACGTTCTTTAATAGCACCGTCTTTTCCGAAGTAAACTTCAGAACGACCGTACCAGCACCAAGAACACGCACATGCGAACCGTTTCCCATCAGCAAGGCTCCAGTCCTGCCGGCCTGATAGGAAGTAAACAAAGAAACATCAGCACACACATGACTATTAGCACGGCTGTCCATCCACCACTCATGTGAAAGACAAACTGAAAGAACAAAAGGAAAAGAATTCCCATACCCAGATGTTCCTCCTCCAGTCTCGCTAATCACCACGTTTGCTGATTTCTTTTCTTGCTTATATTTGCGGTCTGGGCACGTACTTGCCCAATGCTCATCACTCCCGCAAACAAAGCAACCTCCACCTTTCTTGTTGTTTTTCTTCTTAAACTATGCAGTTTGCTTAGGTTTTGCATGGTTGTTCTCTTATATGTTCTTCTTTTTATTACGAGATGCAAATGAGTTTTTCTTCTGCACCATATTGGCAGCGGAAAACTCAACTCATTTTCCACGGTTGTCTTTTGCTCTCGCCCTCTCCTCAACATCAAGAGATCCAATAAGCTCAGCCAGGCCAAACTCTTGTCTCTTGTGTTTTAGAAAAGTAGCAAAATCCCTCCAAGAAGGTGGCAGCTTAGCGATTATACCGCCGGTCACAAACTTATCGGGCAATAAACATGGGAAATGTTCTAGTTCCTTTGCTAGCGCCTGTATCTCATGAGCCTGTTCGACCACAGAACGGTTTTCAACCATTTTGTAGTCATACAGCTGCTCCATAAGGTACAGCTCACTGCCAGCATCAGAAACTCCGAACTTTGCCTCAAGAGCATCCCGTAACTCTTTGCCTGATGTGCAAGATATGTAGTTTTTCTCATACTTAGAATGAAGTGCACTAATCACGGCGTCTCGAAATAGGTTATCGACAGCCAAGAACTTTTGCTCCTCCTCAGGAGTAAACTGTTCAGGCTTCCCCTATGCGGCATGATAGCAGTTCATCGCAGTCAACCACAATACCATCTTGGCACGCCATATCAAGAAATTCTTGCCATCAAAATTATTTGGCTTCAAAGCAGCAGCAAAACCACTAACAGAAAATTGCCTAAGATTAGGTTTTTGGATTGTTAGAAGATTAGGCATTTTCATGGTCAATTTAATCCAGAAATATAACATCAGCAGGTTCGTGACGGCATATATGTGCATGTGTATATCTCTAACGAACGCTACAACATGAAGAGATAACATACAGATGAATACAAAAAAAGCGTAAAGTACAGTAATCACAGAGATTAGATTGTACCCCGCGGAGGGTCCCATGCCGAGGGCATCGGAGGTTCCATTCGCACTAGTCGATATAGTGCGTTGCTCGAAGTCGTAGACCCGCCTTGCTGTTTCGTAGGTAATCACCGGAAAGGAGACGGGTTCCGAGAGCGATCACCACTAGGAAGAAGGCGTACATGGACGAGCAGTCGCGGATCGCTCCCCAAAAACCTAATCGCCGCACAACCCGTGCAAGGTTCTTAGGCGGACAAGGGTTCCGAAAGCACCTGCTCTCCCGCTACTCCGTACGTGCAGAGGTACGGGACGGGGAACCCAGAGGGCTGGTAAGATGTGGTTTCTCTCGGGAGCGGTTGCGGAAGATGGAGATCTGGACTGACGGAGGACTACGGATATATGGCTGCGACGGGAAGGGAGAAAGGCAGCGGAGAATCCCAGGAGACGGAGAAGCGGAAAGGACGGTAACTGACACAATCAGTTCGCCTCCACCGTCAAGGAAAAAAAACTCCCGTGATTATGTGGATTTAAGTGGCAAAAGACTGGCCACGCCCGCTCGCCGCCTGCCTCGCCTCAGGAGACGGAAAGGACGGTAACTGACGCAATCAGTTCGCCTCCACCATCAAGGATAAAAACTCCCCTGATTATATGGATTTAAGTGGCAAAAGACTGGCCACGCCCGCCTGCTCGCCGCCTGCCTCGCCACGGCCTCGGCCTGGCCCGGCCGACGGCGGCGGCGGCGTGCGTGCCTGTGGCACACCTTTATCCTTTTTTCAGCTTCTCAATTAAGATGGATAATTTCCAATCATATAAGCCGAGTAAACATTCAGTCAAAATCTTATATGGTATTAAACCATACAACACTTTATATTACGTACCATAGAATTTTATTTGATTTATTAGATATTATATGGGCCAAGCTCATAATATATCAACATCGTGTCCCTACAATACCATTATCCGCTGGTGGTTCTCGACGACGGGAAGATGCTTGTGTGGGTGGACAGGACGTCTGCCATGAGAGCATACAATCCTGAAACATGTACATAGACTGATTTGGCCACATAGACAGGAGGTTGTGTTGTTGGCATGCACCGTGGAAGCCTTGTGTGCTTAAATCTTAGGGGTCCACGCTCATACAAGGTAGAACAACTCGCGTTAGCCATGATTTGAATCCGATTTTTATACGTATTGGATTTCGTTGCAACGCTAGGACATGTTTTGCTAGTCTATACCTAATCTATATCTATACCTAATAATAAAGAGGTAAAATTTCAGACCATTTTTTTCGTTCATCCTTTTTTGTTTTTGTTCGTCTTCCTCTAACTACCGGACAATGAAGAGTTTCTTCCGTCCGGACTTATATATATATAACACATGCTCGTATGAGTAGAATAGCTCTTGTCTAGCGCGATACGAAGTCTGATTCTAAAACATATTGAGTCCTGGTCATCTGTGTTAGAACAACTCGTGTCTAGCGATGATACGGAGTTCAAATCTAATATATATATTGGGTCCTATTTTTTTTAGTTCCAGTTAGAGTCCTTTTTTGTTTTGATGTCTTTTTTATTTCTGTTGATGTCCGCGTGAGTCCAGTTATGATTTATGTGTATCCGTGTGTCCGGAGATCATCGCTTTTGGTTTAATTTTGTATATATATATAAGCAGTTTTTTTCTCCTATGAAACAGATAACCGAAAGCAATAACGAGAGCAATTTTAGCTTTACACGATTTTTTTCTACCGTTTCTTATCCAATGCAGTTGCGTACGTACATGGTTTCTGATTTGCACCAATTTTTTGCTTTTATTTTTTCTCCAACGTACTTACGTACATGGTTTTCGATTTGTTTAGTAATTTTTTGCTTTTACTTTTTCTCAAACGTACGCACGTACATGTTGATTTCGTAATTGTTCCCCTACCGAGGATCAACACTTTTGGTTACTTTTTCTCGTGTGAAAAGGTAAGCCGGAAGCAATGAGAAAAAATTTGGTATGCAACCGTTTATTTTTATACACCTCCTAGATTCCAATCACCTAAAATCTGGAGGAGGCGACGCATCCACGCCCGCGTCATCTTTCTTCTCTCCGGTGGCCCACGCCACTCTCCTCTCACCTTCCCAACTCCGGTGAGCTTCTCCTCTCTCTCTCTCAAATCCAGTGACCTTAGAAAATCGAGGGGCCCGAGGGAGGCTGGAAGGCACGCATGCGTACAAGGTGAGCTGACCATGGTATACGTACATGTATCATGCTATTATTTTGTCAACACGAATTATGTTGAGCCTACAAGACAGTCTGCGCAGCGCGGCGCGACTCGGCGAATGGTCCGTAACATTCTACAGGCCTGGCCTTTGGTGTAAACGGATGGCAGATACGTTACCACCAGGCAGCGAGTGTCTGTCGGCCGCAAGATGTTGAACCAAGTATACGTACATATTTTGGGTTTGCTTCACGTTATGCAAATCTTGCTGGGTCCACGTGTCATGGCTGGACTGCATGGGAGGAGATCCAATTGAATTCGGTCCTAGACAGTGCAATCACCACGTACCGTCCGGCCAGAAAACATCTCAGCTAATTGGCAAGTCGAGTCCGTGAGTTTTCTAGAAGCGTTATCGCAAGGGATAATTGTTGCGAAAGGAACCGGCTCCGGATATCTCTCGGGCCTTAACAAATTTTATGCATTTAATTTCTTTTATGTGCATCACGAATTGTACTTTAGCTCATTGCATTTGCTCATGAATAAGAGAGTCAAAAACACAATTATTTTAGAAGCAAACAAACATTAAAAAAAACTCAGACAGCGTGGAGATAGCATATATGCGCTCCCCGAGCATTATACTTAAGGTAGAGGACTTCTCACTTGTCATGGATTCATCCGGAATGAAAGCATGATAGTTTTTTTATCCCGTTGCAACGCACGGACATATTTGCTAAGTCAGTCCAGCGCCTGCTTCCTTTCTTATTTGTCCTCTGTCTTCCCATTTGTGTCCGTGTCCGAGTCCGAGTCTCTGTTTCAGTTTTTTAGTACGAGCTCGCCAAGAGGGGCAAACAAAAATATGTGACGGAGTAAAACTCCATGTCCCACACAGAGGGCAAACAAAAACACGTGATGGAGTAAAACTCCATGTCCAACACAAAGAAAAAAAAGAGAGTAGAACTCCATGTCCGACTTGCATTTGTTCTTAGGCTCAATGAAGCCCACAAAGCCTGCAGCCTAATAGTACAGGTCATATGGATATGGATATGGATATGGATTTAGCCCAGTTAAACATCATGGCCCAGACGCAGGCCCAGCACGCAACCCACGCAGAGGAAAGCGCACGGTGGAACTGGAAGGCCAGGGTGACAGTTGTTAAAAGGCAATCGGCAACCACCCGTGGGCCCCCCCTAACCATTTTGTCTTCCTTGCTCCGATCGGAATCAGAAGCAGAAGCAGAAGCAGCCGCGGCGACAAGGGGTGAGCTCTCGAATCGGAATCACCCCATCCTCTCGCTCAATTTCGATCGGATCACCCCCGTCCATGGCTCGATTGCAAGCCTCTCCTCCGTATTGCTGTGATCGGAGCCCCAATTTGGTTCCCATCTCCGTCGAATTGCCGTGTTCCCGCAGTCGATGTCGTCGCCAATTCCCTCCGCCGTGTTTGCATTTCGCAGGGAGGATCGAGCCTCAGCCGCTGGTTCTGTTGGAGAAGAGCAGTTGCCAGCCACCACCGCCAGCCCAGCGCGCGGACAAGTTCCGGAGGCGAGAATGGCGGAACCAGAGCCGGAGCGGGGCGACGCCGCCGCCTTCATCCGCGACGCCCCCTTTGACGTCCACATGTCGCTCGTCCGCCGCCTGTCGCCCAAGTGGATCCTCCGCATGCGCTTGGTCTGCAAGGCGTGGCGTGACAAGCTGTGCCACGGGGCCCTCCTCTCCCCCCTCCACGGCTTACAGCCGCCGCAGCCGCTCCTCTGCTTCGGCCTCGCCGCCTGCCCCGACCGCTACATCCAGTCCCTCGACCTCCGCTCCGGCAAGCTGCGCGCCGTCTTCCGGTTCACCGAAAACGAGGGCTACGGCTTCGACGACAACGACCTCGAGGGCCGTGACGCTCCCCCCATCGACGACTTCCGTGTCGACTACAAAAGGATGGAGGTGAACTACGCCGAAGCCTTGGTCAAGCCCCAGCTCCAGGTCCACGCTTCCCTCGACGGCTACCTCCTCGTCTCCTTCCTCAGCGCCTGGTGCTTCATCAACCCCGCGACGCGCCACTGGGTTGCCCTCCCTGACCTTACGCGCTACGACGTGGTCGGGTTCTATGAGCACGTCAGTTCTGGCGAGTACCGCGTGCTCTGCTTCAGCGGCCTCTGGCACGCTGAATATCCGGCTGTCTACGGTGTCCTCATGGTGAGCACTGTGCAGCTGCGGTTCATCGGGCGCCCCACCTCGCCGGCCGCGCCCGATGATCACGGGCTAGGGTTGGGGGTGGACAGGGCCGTCATCTCCCCACCCATCCAGTTCAAACGCAACCTGCACCTGCGCTGGCCGCCGCAGCAGACCCAGGGATACCACATACTGGTGTTCGACACAGAGAAAGAGGAGTTCAACTGGAAGAGCCCTCCTCCTGTGAGGGACAGAGAGGTGAGTCTGCTTGAATTTCCGACCGGCGACCTCGGCCTGTCCGTCTCCAGGAAGAACAGGGCAACGCTAGAGCTCTGGTGTCTAGAGGATTACCAGAACGAGGTTTGGGTCCTCGTGCACCGGATTCAGTTGGCGATCCAACAGATGCCGGTTCTGCAGGATGAAGATCTTTGGATTCCAGCTGTTGTCTCACCAGAAGGGGATGTGTTGATCGAGTCCTGGCACTGGCTGTTGCACTGTGACAGGAATGGGAATTTGCTGCGCAAGTTTCGGCTTCCTAAGAGGGTGTTTGTCAGGCATGTGCTCAGGGAGAGCCTTCTTCAGCATCGGATGTTCCGGACGCCCAAAGTTGATGGTGCTATTGATGCACCTTTGTTCCATTGGCTGTGTAGTGATCCCAGCTCGTGATGGCAATTTTCAGCATCTATGCTTTACATGATGTGGTGGTTTCTGTCGATGAAGCTTGACTGGTGATGGCAATTTTCAGCATCTATGCTTTACTTCTCCCGATCTCTGGATACTGCAGGGATAACAGTAATGACCATAAGCTCCTGTTTCCCTTGATTGTATGAAACTCTCTGATGTTCCAACTTCCAATACTCTGTATGTTGGATGTTTGCTGAAGTTTGGGACTGTGAATGAATGTGAGGGATTCAGGTGCTATAATTGAGTATTCTGGTTGCAGAGCATCCCTTTCCACCTTTCCTTAATTTTGGAAATTGATCTAATAATGCACCTGACGATTTTCTATGAACTGAGAAATGCTTATCTCGTTTTGGTAGAACTATGGAAGTGAAAGTTTGATTCTGCAGTTTGACTGCTTCCGGGAATTCACTGTGATGATTTTTTTTTTGGTGATTTTTTCACTATTTTTGTTACTTTTCTGGGAATTGCTGCCATATTTTCCCCTCTTGATTTTTATATGACCATTGAATTGTTGCAAGAGTGCTAATTCATTGTGTTGATTTTTGTTTATTGTTCACTATTTTAGTGTCACCCCGAAACTCTGCTGCCTGAATCCTGAACGGAATGCGCTGAGCATACTAGATCCACTTCTCAGTTAGGAGTTCTTGTAACTATATACGGTTCGACATTTAGTTTTTCAGGGCTGGTTAGACATTTAGTTGAGCATATGTGAATTAGATACTACTATAATACTATTGATATGGATCATGAAACATGAACCAATTAGCTTGTCAGATCAATTTCTCTCATATTCAAACTGTTTGTCTTGTTCATTGAACTGATAGTTGTGGTCACACATTCAAACTTCTCTTTAGTTGTCAATTTTCATCAACTCTTCAATTCAATGCTCTGTTCGGAACCATGATTATGGAAGGGTAGGCAATGTGCCTGATGATTTCTTGTTTGTTACAGGATAACAGGAAGACTTGAAGCTTTGCATGCTTCCATAATCGTCAGACGTGTTCTACTAGTATTAGTCAGGTTGCTTAGGATGATGTCAAAGTCATATTTTATTGTTCACAGTTGTCAAAATCTAACTCTGCCTGCAATGACACGATCGCGAAAAAAAAATAACTCTGCCATGAAATTGAATTTGAGCAGAGTCCATATCTGGCAAAGGTATTCTATACACTATAGATTGTCGTATTATATTACTCTAGTTACATAGCTGATGTCGTTGTCAGGTTTCAGTGTTTTCTGTTACTGAAATAAAAGAACTGGTATCGGCAATTCTAGTTTGACTGAATTTCAATAGAGACGGCACATGCAAAAGGTTATGAAAGAAATTGAAGACGCTTGTAATGGAGGGATGCAATTATGCTGCACAACAGCAGAAGTGAAGGTGAGAAGGTGTCGTCTGTACTCGACGATGGTGTGAGCAGCCTGCCGTATGGATGATTAGATGTGAAGGTAAGATAATGATCCAACGGAAATAAGAATTTGAGGTGACATGGAGCAACCTGTAGAGAAATAGGATTTAATGGCTCTTAGTGGGTTCCATCGATATAGGTTATATAGATAAATACGACCTCTATTAGACGCACACATGGAGCTGTCTAGTAATGAACCTTGATTGCCGGCGCATGAATGCATACTAGCTCGAAACACACGCTCCGCTGCGCGGGCATCATGAACCATGCAGAGTATAAACCGTGCAGAGAAATAGTGGACAAACACTGTAGTGAAACAATGACAAACAACGATGCACAGTGACGAGGATTGTAAGAACAGCAGTGAACAGCGACAAACAGTGATGTGAACAGTGAAACCCTCGATTTATCCGCGCACAAGAGGGCAACCATAATGTGTTTAGACCAAATAGTCCAAATACGTGCTTTATTACATTCACTGGCTTCACATAATCATCCTAGCTCTGGACTATAGGGACTCATTGTCCAACCACCTTTTAGCCATAGTAAATGATTCTTCGGGATTTGTTTCAGGAGGAATATGGCCGCCACCCTACATCATCCACAAGCAACCAGAGAGGGTTTTGTTATGCACGTGCGCATGCGCGCACTTACACACACAATCAACACAAGCATCTGATTTATATCCATCTGATATATAAGAAAAATGAAATGAGAGACCTACCTTTATTGTCGCAAACGTCAGGTTGGTAGCATACATGATTGTGAATCTGCAGTAACGAGGACATTGTAGATTCTTTATTAGACCAGAAAAAATTATTAGGACTTTGGGACATTAAGGCATGAATTTGAGAAATGCATTCATAGAAACCATCTGCTGCACATTCTTGTGTCCGACCCCAACTATCTAAACAAAAATTTGTAAACAATGACGTGATAATGGACTATATATAGAGAGAAGATGACGAGATAATATTGGACTATATAGAGAGAGAAGACTAGAAAGCGGGGGCACAAGAAGAGAACTTAACCCTGCTGCCTGGTTATCAAGGTGCCAGGCCCTCCAATCATCAACTATGGAGAAATTGAAGGATCTGGTCCATGCTTGTGTGCCCATAAACGGTATGATGAGGTCATGGTCTCCACTGCCCAAAGAATAGGAACTTGTAGCTAATTAAGCACAACCATATGGAGGTAGATTCAAACTACTGATAATAACTTGCATATATATTATATATATACTGCCTCCGGTAGGGAGAAGTTGTTTCTGGCAAAAAAAAAAAAAATGGAACTGCAATTTTTTGAGATGTGTTGTAAACGTATTGTTCACCCAACCGGAGAAAGTGAGTTTTTCACCTGTATACAAGAGCGCGATATCCTCTAATGCTGAGGTTGAAATGGTATTTGATGCTGTTGGGAAGATCACACACATAAGGAAGAATTGGAGGTCTTTTGCACCTAATCCATTCCACCACTGTTCCCTATCAATTTTTTATATCTTTGGGTCATTTGATCAATCCACATTACTTTAGAACTACTAAGTTTGTCTCAATTACCTCCTTGATTCCAATAGCAGCCCTAACAACATTATCATTGGCCCAAAAGTAGGACAGGTAGTGGCGGTATTCCTGGGTTTTGGAAAAGGAATTTAAAATTAAATTTAGGTAGTAGATTGTGTGGAAGAAACCGATCTCAATTTGCATGAACATAATAATAATCCATATGATGCATGACATACATAGAAACAATAAAAGGGAGGTTCATCAGGTGCTTCACTAAGCTGATAGTGGTAGCGTTCCTCTGCTAGAGATGACACACCTTCCAGAGCACCTCTTCGTTTTTGTGAAGGAATATGACATATTGGTCGCAATATGTTCCCTTCAGTAACTTCTGACATGAGCTATGGAGGTGCAAAGAACAATGTTATTAAGATAATTGGGAATGGTAAGATCAACAATTATAGGAGATAAAGGTGAAAATTGAAGCTTACCTTGCTAATAGTCTGTACCACATCAGCACAAGGTTCGTTTGTCGGGTTTAGGAAATCTCCTTTGCAGTTTTTGATGAAAGCCTTAGAAACGTAATGATGAATGCAAGAAGAATGGGGATCGCAAGCAGAAGTATTCTTATAAGGGTGCTGCATTTCTCAAAAAGGCATATATATGAGAAGGAACAAGAATATATACCTCATATTGTTGGTCAGAGATGATTCCAAATGAATGAGAAAACGTAACTCTGGAGTTGGTATCAATTTTGTCGCCTGTAAAAGGATTACCAACAATATAACCCTGCATAAATCAATAATGGATCATTAAGCGACATAGCTTCAAATTAGGGATGCAAGCGAGTTTGTTCGCAAACTCGCAAGTAGGCTTAATTTTACAGATTATGCGGGTAACCTGTAAAATTAAGCCCATTTGCATCCCTACTTCAAATAGTTCACTCAAGAATTAAATTAGAAGCAAGAGCTAGCTAGATATATTTGTATGCTACGCTAGCAGAATCACATGCCTTCAGTTTAATAAGTGGTTGTTGCATGTCTTCAATTCCTGAGGCATATGCAATCACACGTGAATTAAATTAGGATTATGACAATGAGCTATCCCTTGGAAATATAATCAAGTAAGAGGGAAGCAAGACTACCTGGAGAGTGAAGAACTGAAGATAAGGAGTTTAGTCAGTTTACCTTCTGAAATGTAGTGTGCAATCAGAGGAACCACCTTTCCCGCATATGAATCTCCACCAACGTAGAAAGGACGATCCAAAAGATGCTTTGGGTGATCATCAAACCACTGTATGACGGGAAACAAACAAAAGGGTGGTCACTAGGATGCCATATTTTTTTAAAATTTCCTCGGTTGAGTTATACACCAAGGTTGTTGTGTGTCTCAACCTTTCTCAAAAATGTCAAGACCTGCCTAGAAGATGAGATGTCTCCAACTTCATAAGCTTTGGGATCACGTGCATAAGAGAAACCAGAACCAACAGGCGAGTCCAGGAAGAGAATGCTTGCCATCTGGTAACAATGATGGAACATTTATATTCATCAAATAGAATCAAGAAAAATGGTTGTGATGATGAACAACCAATGTATCTCATCCTCACCTGTGTCCAGGAATATGGATTGTAGACCAATCTCGGCAATGTGCCGTCATATGGTTCCACAACAAACTTTAGAGGACCTGTGAAGCTCTGAATAACATTAGTATTGTACATTCATCCTTTAGTCTTTGAGGTTACGAAATTTGTGTGATACAAGGGTAAGTGTGCTGCAAATAGCTGAGGTTTGCGGCTATGTCTATTATAAAAAATACAAATGGCATATTTGTTTGGGCTTTCTGGGAACTTTTGGACCTCAACTTTGGGCCTTCCAAAAGCCAAAAAGCTTCCGGAAGCCAAAAGCCAGAAGCTCCTCAAAGTGAGCTTTTGGCCTTTTTGCTCATGGGAACTTTTTGGCTTTTAGAAGGTCCTAAAGCTTCCACGAAGCTGAAACAAACAGGGCCAAAGTTTGTATGGCGTACTCCCTCTGTTCTAGAACATAAGGAATTTAAGTTGTTCTAAGTTAAATCTTAG